TAGGGGAGGGCTCTGTGAATTTCCATCACACGGGGTACACAAACGTGCCCCTGACTCTCGTAACGCCGTTAGCATTTCGCTTCCGCTGAAATGCTGACCACCGTGACCGGTATCAAACAGGCAAGGTTTGAGAATGGGATAGTTGGTAATCAATATTCAACAACCAGCAAAACAATTGACAAGAAAGGGATGTCTTTGTTCTCTTTATTATCTTTTGTACGGTCTGCGCTGGTTCTAGAATAGACATATCTGCGGCCGAGGACCTCAACACCGATCGCAGTGGCTATACAAAAATGTATTCAGACACCTATTCGTTAATTTTACAATGTCCATCGAAACTAAACACTTCGATGTGCTAGGGTTTTGAGGATAGTAATATTGAAGACCGCGAATAGAAAACTCGTCGAAGGATGCCCAAGAACAAATCGAACACTTGTCTGATATTTAAGAGTTAAAAGGGCCAGAGTATGCATTGCGCAGAGTCATGTGCATTTCGCAGGCTCACGCTTTCTGTCTTTCACCGTGTATATATTTAGTGATGTAGTTCATAACATGAACTACATCATGTCAATATAGCATCCCGCCTCGCCACTCATCGACTGACAATCCAGGACCTAATACGGTAACATTCTTTGGAGACATCGTAGCACTTTACAAATGAAACCGCCTTCAAGTTCCGACACTGGCACCCGGACTCCCCAAGACTGACGAGCAGGACATCGCGAGTACTATTCAGCAGAAAAACACCAATACATAATAGGAAGCTGGAAACTTCCTAATACGACTTTTTCGAAACCCATAAACAACTTTCTCAGCGAAAATTTTTGCCCAGCTTCGTTGGTTCAAAGTTAGCTAATTATAGTGACCTAATCGAACAATCAACGAGAACACAAAAATAGTCTGACGTATAGTTCATGCAATAGTCATAAACGCACTTGGACGCGTCTTTATCAAGCGTGTTGGTATATTTTAAATGCGAATGCTTTAGTTGTCCTATGTCGGGCATTCGGCGTTTTCCACGGCGTCCGCCACCAAGCGACGCCCCAACAGCGCTCGAGGGGTACGCACACCACTCTCTGCATTGCAGGCGTCGTGAACCAAATGAAAAATCGCAGCGTATCCACAGAGTGAATGATGATGAGTGGGGTGAAGGGTTGTCTGTTCGTCCGTGAGTCCGCATGGATGAACGCACGGACGGACAGAAGCATGGACGAACAGAAGCACGGACGGACGCACGGATGGACGGAAGCATGGACAGCAGATGGTAGAACCGACGGACAGACAGACTGAACGCGCGGACGGATGGACATATACACGCAATGCTACCTATTGAGCAACTCAAACTAGAGGTGGCTACTACTACTACTACAGAGAAGGGAACGAACCAGGGCCTAAGTAGCTTCGCCCCTAAAACGCCCACAGCTCCGTACGTCAAGCGAAGCCAGCCGCGCTGCACATGCCAGCCCTGCGTGCGCACGAGTTCCGACCGATGGGCCAGCGTGCCTGACCGGCGGTGAAAGAATACGAGGTTAGAGGCAAGCGGCTCTTCATATTTTCGTACTCCGTGTTTGCTTTCTTCCAAGTTCGCTTTATCGGTTATGCCGCCGGCGCCAATGGTACCGCCGCTCAACGCAGGAACGAGCGCCTCAGAGCTGCTCTCTAAAAGATCGCATTATGCACGGATGTGGTTCCGCGGGCTGTAATGACATTCTACTGGGGGGATGTTGTTACGACAGACACGAAGTGTCGAGAACGTGCAATTACGACAGTGAACTTCTGAACGCTATGCGTCCGTCTGTCTGACCGTCCATGCGTCCGTCCGCCCGTCCGTGCGTGCGTCTGTTCGTGCGTCCGTCCCTGCGTTCGTACATGCATCCGCCTTTGAGTCCGTTCATGCGTCCATTCATGCACCTGTCTGTGTGTCCGTTCATCCATCCATCTATTCAACACTCTAAGTACCACCATCGCATCTTTTCATCATATATTCCTCACTCAACCAGGCTCGAAGCTCTCCCCGCAGTGGCTCTCGGTCTGCGCGCAACTTTCAAGCCAGACATTCAAGCCACGCCCGCGGAACTCGTCTACGGGGAGTCGCTTCGCCTACCTGGAGAACTCCTCTCCGCTCCGACCTCTGTTGTAACCAGCTCGGACCCTGCAGACTTCGTCGCTCGACGCCGTCGACGCCGTCGCACAATAGGTGCGCTGCTGCCCCTCACCAGCGGCTCGCCACACCAAGCCGACCCCGTTCGTGTTTAAGGACCTGGCAACATGCTCGCATGCCTTCCTCCGCGACGACACCGTACGTGCACCTTTCCAGCCGCCTTACTCCGGGCCTTACAAAGTCACCTGTCGCGACGACAAAACATTTACCCTGCAAATCAGTGGAAAGGATGTACGCGTTTCCATCGACCGCCTATAGCCATCACACATCCTTTGCCAGGAGCCTACCAACCCCCGCATGCCTCCTGTAGTTCGCCGACGACAGCCCGCAACACCTAGGCTCGCACCCTACACCACCCGCCTTGGACGCCAGGTGCGGGTCCCCAAACGTCTTCAACCCTGACGGCTCCTATCTGCGTGGGGGGGGGGGGGGGTAGTTTGGCAAAACGGGTCGGCGCCGCTTCTGCGCCTGCGCGTCGCGGCTCTATGCCTCCGAACACGAGCGCCAGCGATAAGAACACTCTCGCCGAAATAAGCAAGAAAACTGTGTGTGTGCCCTGATTCAGGGGCAGTCGTTGTAGAACCTTTAGTGCGGAAACATTAAAGATGTTGTCCCGCACCCATATAGAAACACCGCCATTCAGCGGACATTCCAAGGACTAAACGAGAGGTGGCACATGAACACTTTCTTACGGCTTGCGCTTCGGGTCTACTTCCCACCTTCAACCACCTCAAGTTTATGGTATATACTAGTTTACTGTATTCATGGCACTGCTGCCCAACGCTCGCTAATCCTTTCTAAAATCAAGGAGGTTACGCAAGCGAGTATAACGTAGCAACCTTTTCCTGTCAGATAGGGCTCAATGTACATGCCAATGGCTGCGAATGGGGATCGCAGCGAGCGCATTAACTAAAAGCCGAATGCCCCTGTCTCTCATTCCCACTTAACAGCCATTGACATGCTCATTGAGCACTATCTTTATTGTTTTACAACGCACAGAAGAAATCTCTCACCGGCACCACCTAGGAGATCAAAATGTTATACTTGTTACACACTACAACGGCTACGAGGGACGAACGGGTGCCGTTATAAGGAGGTTTGCCTCTAAAAGTGATGAGCTTGCCTTTGACCAGCAGCACAGTGTGTTATTGCAAACGTTTCGATAATGCGAGTATTGACTGCGTTCGTCCTGTGAAATAATCATGTCATGTTTAAAGAATACGGCTATCCTCGTGGCATTTTGCTCAAGTGCATGCAGCCCAGACTTGGTAGACGGCTGATTTCATATAGCTTGAATGAAAACAAAAAATTACCTCATCTTCCACTAAAGCTGCATACACACGACGCAGCAAACAGTGATTCGAGCCTGCGGATTGTGTTGTTACTCCTACCATTCGACAACGGACAGGAGAAATCTACCACTGGCACTATACTTGCAGGGGCCGAGTTCCAGTGCCTATATATACAGTAGGACCAGTGAACGGTTGTACAGCGCGAGCAGTTGGTTTTCATGGACCAAGCTTCTAAAGCTGGGGGTCTGTTCCTCCTAGCTCGTCGTTAGTACGTGACCACCTAGTTCGATGACTAACTCAGCAGGTGTGAACGCATGGACGGATGGACAGACAGACAGACAGACAGGCAGGCAGGCAGACAGGCAGGCAGGGAGGCAGGCAGGCAGGTGGAGAGATGGACCGACAGATGGATGGATGAACAGATGGACGGACAGATGGACACAAGTGGAAAGACAGACAAACTGAGACAAACTAATGGATAATTCATGGTTTCCCGATAGAACCCTCCGAATCTTCGCCCCACTCATCATCATTCACCCCGTGGATATGCTGGGATTTTTTTCAACGAAGAGACTGCCTAGCAGACGCTGCCTGTTTCAGCGTTGTTAAGCGAGAGAGGGGGGGGCGAGGGAGAGAAGAAGAGGAGGGGAAGCGCACGCGTGGAAAGTGTGGTCACGCCCATGGTGTAATATATAAACGCCGCACACTGGATTGAACTCGACCCTCGACCATAGGATGCTTCGCATCTAAAAAAAAAAAATAGGCGCAGCGTGCCTTCTGCACACAAGCAATATCGTTTCTCGTTACATTACTAGAGGACTAAAGTTGTGACAGACGTCTCGTGGCGAGAATATGCGACGATCACAGTGAGTTTTCGAAAGCTTCGCATACTGTATACTTCAGAGCTAAGGTTTTTGGAACGCTGTCGTCTGCCTTACAAGTGAATGACTTGATGCAAGGAAAACGTAATTCAGAAATGCACCCCCAGAGACAGAAGCAAGTGGGGTTTCATTGGCTTACAACATCAGTGAGTGTGTTCTGCGAGTGCACTAGGGTGTTCCTGAGTTTCCATGCTCGTCCGAGGGCAATTACTCATTTCAACGGTAAATTGAAAACAAAAACGCGACTTTAGTGTGTTCATAGTATTCAGCTGACTTTTTGATGCTCAGCGCACAATTGCAAATACATAATCGACATTTCTTCAAACGAGATCGTAAGCAGTGAGCAAATTTCAAGTTGATCTACTGTAGCACCTCCGTCAGTGACTATAGTGTGGCGTTACGGAAACATTCATAGGTTTGTCCAACTGTCGAATCACTAAAGAGTACAAAGCCATCATGTATACGCTGGTTTATCATTCTGATTTTCAGCAAAGAGCTTTCTCTTTCTCTCTTTCTCTAGCGTAATAAACTTTATGAAGCACTTGGAGAATCGAGGCTTGGAGACTGTGGTGTTGCATGTCACGATTGCCTCTGCTATTTAATGTAAAACTTGCGGAAGAACAAACGAGAAAATATTATAAGGAGTGAAGCAGAGTATGTACTAACCTCCACCTATACTGGCCAGTGGGTGCTTTCATGCCGCTGTAGTAAAAAAAAAACAGAAAAACAATTTTTCACATGATAGTTCAAAAGGACAAGAGTTTACCTTAAAAATAGTGCGGTAATTTGAGAAAACATTCAGTATAAACCAGTTGAATCTGTTTACTGAGACTATAGGCACTGGTGTTTTCAAACGAGAAATTCGCCACAACTTCGGGCCAGAGCATCCCGGAGTGATACGTTCAAGTGTCTGGCAGCTTCATTCGCGAATGCGAACGGCACGTGCTGAACAAAATTGATCTTGGCTGATAGCAATAACGTGAAGAGGACAGGATACAAAACTTTGAAAATAGTCTTTGCGTCTGGTTTATAGACGCCTTATAGACGCTACTGCTGGAACTGCCTTACACGCTTCCTTACTTAGTGTACTTGAACCAAGTGACCAGAGTGAAAAATCGTGGTTATGCAAAGGTCCTAGAAGTGACCGCTACACGTATTTTGACGAAGGTTCCACATGAAGAGACCCACCTTGGTGCGTAGCTCACGCTAAATCCGGAAGACTTGTCATCCGGCGGACTTTCTCTGGAAAAGACAACGGAACAGCGCCACCGTTAACCGGTGTGCATACACAGGCTATCTTGCGTTTTGCTAAGCGTCAGCACGAGCTTGTGTGAACTCCTTATGTGGTCGAGAAGCGTATATTGGGTGGGGGGTCTAGTTGGCAAGACATTTTGAAAACTTCAACTGCGTTAGAGACGAGACATCAGTATAGAAGAATACAGGGCGAACGCAGACCCACACATTTATTGAAATCACATAAACTGGCCTTCTGCAACAATGCGCGTGCACAATGACAATCACAACCACGCAACGAAAGTGGACTACACCCGCGAGACTCCTATCTGCATAAGAAAAAGCCCTCTTTTCTGGAAAGATACACCGATGTGTCGCTGATACCACTTGTCGCTGACAGCCAATGTCTCGCTGACCGCCAATGTCTAGCCATCCTGGAAGCTTCCAGAAGTTCACCTGCCCTTTGGCTCTTAGCTCTTCCTAGCACCTTAGTACTGTACTTAATACGGCCTTGCACTTTGGCGCACATGTGCCACAATGAACAGACAGGTACTTCTCACTGTCATCTTCCAGTGAATTAGAACGCTCTATTAAGTGCTCGTTCATGAATCTCCCCGTCTGCCCCACATAAACCATTCCATGGGTCTTCACGTGGCACTCATAAATTGTGAAAGTTCATCTGACTAGATAGAGGCACCAGCAGTTCCGGAGGCATTGGGTCGGCAAAGAGAACTTGAAGCATGCGTGGATACCATAGTGAACGTCCACAGAGTTCCGCACCTGTCCTACTCCTTCCCCCCAAAAGTAGGAAAATAGCGATCGAGGAAACCGTTTTGACCACGGAATTCGATCTATTCATTGTTAGTGACTGCATATTCAGCCTTTTCAAACGCTGCCATTGAATCGTCTGTAAATGTGTCAAGTCGACGCAACTTTATTTTAAGACATTAGATATATTATGTTTTTGCCCTAAATAAAATGAAATGAATGAAATATTGCAACAAAAATAATGCAATGATGCGTTAATTTATGTGTGTTATAGTAATTACTTGTAAATGATTTCTAATTATATACTTATTCTCAAACCACTCATGCTCTATATTTGCCCTAAAAGAATGAAACCTCAGGCCAAGAGCACAGTGTAAATTATTTTTTGCTTAAGTCCATTTCTAGGGAAGGAAAATTCTACGTTTGACGTGGCTGGCGGGAAACGGAACGTGAAACGACTCGTCGAAAGTGGCAATGCTTTTCAGGTAAAGGAATATACTAAACAGTACTTTGCAAAATAAAGTTAACTGATGACACACTTTCTACGCAGGAGTTCAATTCACCCAAGCCTCATTGTACGTTGCTTTTTTTAAGCCCCTAGTCGATACAAGCAGCTAAAACGAGTAATGCGCACAATTATGTATCTAGCATCTTACATGCTTTGGAGGAGAAACAACGTGGTTAGATATTGGCAAGAATTAGTGTAGAGATTAGTGAACAAAACCTCAGCAGCTTAAGGTTTTCGGGCAACATCGTGCTTCGCAGCAGTAACGGCGACGAACTAACTGCCGAACAAATGATTGACATAGTCAGGGTCGCTTCATCTCCCTGCTCTGGAAGTGCAGTAAACTCGTGACGTTGCAGTTTGCTTGTACCATTGAAATTTGCCTAAGCATGTCCAGTAATGAAGGTGACTTTTCTTTCGGTGGAGCGCTCCAGAGACTGCATGAGGCAAATTCTAGTGATCAACCAATATTTCTAAATGGTGCTTATGCACTTAGTCAGCGAAGGCTCTTTGAGCGCCGCCACAGTTCTCTCTGGGCTGTTGTTAACATGCGTGAAGCCCGAAAATGCACTACCGAGGCTGTGACGTTGGCTTTTGTACTCCCGTCCAACAGCCCAGAAAGGACGGCAATCCTGCTCTCCGTTAAAAATGCCTATAGTTAAATAGTTTTTAAAGAAAGATGAAGACCCCGACCGATTGAGTGCTTCTATACCAGCCCATGCGGACATGCCTGTGAACTTACACGGACTCCTCGACTTCGATGCCTTCGTACATGTAGTCATCCATCCTCATGAGGTACTTGGAGAGCTTTAGGCCAACGGCGATTTGGGTGGTGAACATGCCACAAACGAGCCACACCGAGAACCAGATGCCGTTCTGGAAGGATGAATGGACGTCGCCAATGAAAAAAACGCGCTCGTCAAAATATTTTACAAAGAGCCGCCAGCGTATGCATTCTGTGAGTGACAGTTACGCGTCAGTAAATAACGTAAACGTAGAACATCATACGCAGCTGCTTAGTCGTACCAGTCTGCCGATACAAAATTGCTGCAATCTATGAAGTGAATAATAATGGAGCTCCATCATCATACACTTCATAGATTCACTTCAACGTAGAAGTTATGGGCCTCAGGGCTATAACGTAAACCGTTATAGACTCACTTCGACGTAGACGTTATGGTCCTAAGGCCCATAACGTCTACGTTGAAGTGAATCTATGAAGTGGGTGATGAAGGAGCTCCATCATCATTCACTTCATAGATTCACTTCAACGTAGAAGTTATGGGTCTTAGGACTATAACGTATGCACGTTATAAATTCACTACAACGTAGACGTTATGGTCCTAAGGTCGATAACTTCGACGTCGACGTCGCCGACTCGTATGGATGGCAGATGGATGGATGGAAGGATGCACGGAAGGAAGCACAGACGAACGGTCTATTTTGAACCTATATGCGCGCTACGAACGCTTTATGTGCGATATATGTAACACCTGTGCCTCTGTCCGACGGGAAGCTACGACAAATGTGCCAACGGACATCGTAGAAGCCTAAGGAGCTTCGCTTCTAAATAGAGCTGCGAAAGCGACTTTTGTGGAAGCGTTTGCATGCGTTGAAGATAACTCTGCCTCCCGACGGGAACACGGATGAGGTTTGGTGCTCGCCGATGCGCGCGAAGTTTCTCAACTGAATGTTCCCGTGATCTTCCAATCATACGTTTTACCGCTTCCCGCGCTGTCGCAATTTGCGTGCGTCGTTCCTGTCGCGTATTCACACCACAGGTCGGCAAAACTAGCGGAGCTCACTCGAACTCACTCATGAAATATGTTTCGAGCTTTGGACTCGCTCGGACTCAGACTCACAAAAATTTTTCTGAACCGGACTTACTCAGACTGAATCATACGAAATTTCTTCTTCAGCTGGACTAACTCTGACTCTTACAGCCTTTTGTTTTTGCTTTGTTTTTTTCTTCTTATTTTCAGGAAATTAAATAAATAAACGTCAACCACACAATCACGAAAATATTATTGACCCGGACTCACTCAGACTCATGGATCGATCTGACTTTGAGTGAGTCCGAGCGAGTCAACTCACGAGTGAGATCGCCGACCTACGATTCACACTCGATCCACTTGAAACGAAGCATCTCTGAAAACGAAGTCAATAGCGCCTCTTTATAGGATTCGTTTGAGATTTTATAGTTTTATCTGCTAAGAATATTCTTGGAGTAGCTCCGTGAAAATACTTTACACGTTCGCAGCGGGCTAAATCCTTTCGAGAAGTATTTGCGTTACCATCCCCTCACCATGCATAACAAGGTACCGTCACAGAAGGCTTCGAGGCACTGTATATAGAACTGGCGGATGGGCTTGCAGTCACCGAGATTTGTGAAAACCTGCAGAATTAAGAGAGAAACAAAGAACGAAGATTTTAGAATCAAATGCTGCGGGCAATGCACGCAAGAAAAAACAAAAACTGGAACGTTAATGCAAACCAGGAAAAAAACAAACGCAGGCCGGAGTACTTTGTAATTGTCGTGCGGGTCTTCATCGAATTGGAGGAACAGGCGTTAGCGTGACGCAGCTGCTAACGAACAGGCTTAAACAGCAGGACTAACTGAGCTTTCGGTAGCTTGCGATAACTCCTGGCAATACACGGCGAGATGTATCGAGGCTTGGCGAGAACGTGAGTTAGAATCTAGATACCTTTCGCTGACAAAAGTACCTTTAGTTAAGCAGGCAGGTCCTTGCGTTTGAGAGGCACGGATTTACAATACCGAGTAATGGGGAAGTGTGCATAATCGAAGTGTGATGTGCTGTACAGACTTGCGGTACAAAAATATAGTGATGATCTTACCGCTGTTGTGATTCTCTTGAGATTGCTCAACTGCGAAACGATGGCGGCTTTCGTGTACTCCAGGTACTCCTTTATGGTGAGGATGAGAGAGAGAGAGAGAGAGAATGCAATCGAAGCATGAGGACCACGTTCGCTAAATGACCACTGACACACCTTGCTCTAATGTTCTACCTTGACCTACAGTTCGTTCACTATTCGAGTATAAATGGGATGGTTCACTTAAAACACGGCGCGGAAATGGGCTTTTTCTGCGTCCGAACAGTACTTACAGTTGAGATCGCCGAAAAGTAAACTTGAGAAAACTGGCCTCCGTAATGGTTCTTCCGCCAACCGGTAGGCAATCCGGGAGGCCTGTATTCGTGCCTTTCTTTGAGGAAAACATACGCTAGTTTGTGACACTAGGCGTCGCTTGGTTGGTCGCCGAAGATCCTGGCGCGTGCCTCGTTCACGCTCACGCGCATGCGCAGGCTATATTTACCCTGAAAAAAGCCCATCACGTGTAGGCGTGAAGAAGGCTATAGTTTCACTTTTGTATTTCAGGAGGTTTGTTGTTTAGCACGATGTCACCACACATCGCTTGCTCACGGGGAACATTGCTTTCTTCAAGTTTGTCTACGGAGACACTTGGTTCTTGAAATGGGTGTATACAGATGTGTGTGGTGGAACAATAAAACACCAAAACACGACCGGTGCCATAGTTTCGGTGTACTCTCGTTTACGCGTGACGTAATGATATCGTAGGTCACGTGGGAGTGGCCGTTTGACAGGTTACGATACGCTGTCTCGCAGGTTGGTTCGCGGTCAGCGTTCTACACGGCAGTGGCGTAACGAGTAGCGGTGCGTAACGTACAGTTATACCGAGAAAGGCGGAAGTAGTAACATAAGCGTGACGATGGGTGCAATCAGCGTCGCGAACTATTGCGTTCACGGACCCACCTTTACACCATGATGCCACATACACGGAGACCTCTTTTGAAACAAAATTGAAAGAGATTCTTGCTATAGTACTTACAAAGAAGTACTGCTAACAGTTTGGCTTAACAGCATTTCGGGAGAGTTTCGACTTCGAGGACTATCATGTAAGCGGTACAATGAAAGAAGCAATGAGAAAAAATTCTTAAAGGCGTGAACTTTTCTTAAGCAGCGAGGGTGACAGCCATAAACTTTTATTTTTATTTGCGCACCAACTGTGTGAGAGAGCCAGATACAAGGTTTGAAAAGCTATTTATGATTCCTTTAGTTGGTGAGAACGCATGCATTACAGAAATATGCATTTCTGCGAGACACTTGTGTCGCCTATTTTCCTACTGCTGTAACCTGATAAGCACAATATGTTAGGACTCTGTTTAGCTGCAGGGCTGCCACTATCACTTATTAGACGATGCTGCACAGAGTGAGTTGCTACAGAATCTCGTCACGCTCTGGAAGATGCTAAATAAGAAGACATGGAGAGAGGGACAACCAAGCTGTGGCTCAATCACGGCTCGACTGACATAGTGTTGTAACTCGTTCCTTTCGTTCACGGCGCATCGCGTTCGCTCACTGTGTGCGTCTGTACCGACAAAAACCATGCAAGAATGGCACGCTTCACTCACCTTGTTCATAGACGCTTGTAATGATTTTCTATACGCATCGTCACTCGCAAGAGCCGTAAAGCCTTCCCGCCACCTTGCGGACACGTTCTTCAGTTATGCAAAGGCAAAATAAAGCGAAGAACATATAAGAAAGTGTTAATATAATAGCTTCAAATGTTATGTGCAAAGTGGCGCTGTATGCTAGACACGTCTAACTTTAAAGAAAACACGAATACAATCTAACATTCAAAGAAGAAAACTAATCTTCGAGTCTTGTAGCGGCAAAAAAAAAGCATGAAGTCAGCAGGTTAAAAATCATTTCCCGGTGGGAGCTGACACGATATTATTTTATGAAAAGTGAAAGCATCAAAATAGTATGAAAATACTTTGATGAATCACGAGCGGCACCTCAACTAATTGCGTCACTATGCTATCCCTATTAAGGCCTTAACTCGAAACGCCTCATCAAATGCGAAGAGCGATCAATGCAAAAAGTCATAATCACGTTATGACGTGAGCGTGTGACGTCTTCCTAACCGTCGTCCAAGATATTGGATTTCGAGATATCACCATTACGTCATGATGCAGCCTAACAGCGTGACGTCTCATGACGCGTCGTTGCATGACGTCGTCGCTTGCTCAAAGATAGGCTGATCGTGATGTCAGTGTACAGCCATGTGAGGTGAACAAAGATTTCGAAGGGAGGCCTGAGGATCATTAACGTCAGCTAATTGCTGCCTCACGTAAATGCAGGAGAGACGTCGACAAACTTTTAAAGCAATCGCTGGAATTAGACTCATCCAGACAACGTATTGTCACAAATTTGACATATCAGCTTAGCTGTGGCTCAGGCTCGGCGGGAGCAGTGGTTGTGTTGATAGATATTAACCCCAGTGGCCTCCATTTGTATTGATAATTTGGCCATGTCAGCGAGAACGTATTTTTTTCTCGTAAAAATTGAGGGTCAATATTAGGTAAAGGTAACGCCCGAGGTTTTACTTGCCATAACTACGAAAATATTGCAGGGCAAGACGTAATGGGGGACGGGAATGATCTGGACACCCGATGCCTCTTCACATGGTGTCTTACAGCCTTCTTTGATAGCGAATTTTTTAGCAAGTACGACACCACTACGGCAAATCTACAGGAACGTGAATTAGCGGACTTTGAATACAGCGGGTTGTAGGGGCGTCTTTCGGAAGATGTGTATGAGTGTGAGAAATGACATCGTGGTTGGAACCTCACCTTGGCGTCATCGGTCGACCTGATGGAACCGGTGACCTAGCGTAAGGAAAAGAAGGTATTTGCTCTTTCAGACATCGTCCTTGCAATACACGCCTGCCTCCCTTTCAATGGGGCAACTTGTCCAGTTGCTTTTTTGGTCACACCGGTCTCTACCACCAGAGGCTTATATATGTCAGCCTGATATTAGACCGGCTGTGGATAGGTGAACGAGGCGGAACTTACGCACTATAATTTTCGCATCAAAATTATTATCATGGAGTGAGTGTTTTTCCACGAAGACAAAGAAATACGCTGTACAGCGGTCACTGGTGCATCTTATCTGGAACATAGTAGATCGTTTTTTGCCAGCGGGAGGTGTTGTCGGGCAAGTTTGTGGTACCAGTTTTTTTTTTACTTAGAGATATTGTAATATTAGAACCCCTTCTAAAGTTTCACCCACATGCCACTACAAGTCTATGATTGCCTCCAAAAAATTTATCACGGTAAAGAATGCGCAAAGCTAGGCCAAAAGTTTGGATGCATTATGTAGAATACGTTTAGTTCAAATTTTACGGGAGGGGGCTCAGTCTTACGCACGCATCGTAAGTAGTCTAAGCTCAATCCTAATAAACTTCTCTTCTATTATTGCATTCTATTATTCTGTTAAACTAAGGCGTGCGACAGATCTCTAACTCCTTGGGTACTTGACGTATGTTGAAAATTGGGTAGGCAATAAACTACTCTAATGAACCCATTCGATTATTACTTGGAAAAGTGTTGCAGGGCTTCTTTAAAGGGAAACTTGAGGCAAATACTGCGTCGATTTTGATTGCTGCAATAGCGATCCAAAAACTCCGTAGTGCTACTTTCGTGCCAGGGTTGTGCTTATTCTGAAATAAAATCCCGTTTTAGAGGTCGGCATCGCGTTAGCGCACTTCAAATTACCCGCTTTAAGCGGAACCTGTCACGTCACTGTTGCTGTGCACAACGTTGCTCTGCTTTAATGCGCGGCTGCCGACGCTATAGTACCAGCAGAGGGATAGGAGTGGGAGCCACAGCAGCAACAACGGCCATTGAACAATTTTTAGCCATGGCCTTCAAAATTGCGGGCGTGCTTGTTTCGACTGGGCCCTGCTAGATGACACGACCTGTCCTGTTTAACCAGGCAAAAATTGAACTTTTTAAGCACTCGTACCGTTCCCCATAGTAACGTTCAGCGGTTTTTTTTCCATGAATCAAACAGAAACGAACAGGCATCATTTCATTACGTCTCGTAATGCACGAAAAGTTATTTAACTAGTGCAGGTAGTTCGATTCCTAATCATTGATTGTAGGTGGTAAGTCTGACGCCATCGGGATCGTTTTGCGAATCTCCTACTCGTGGCGCATGTGTCCTCGTGAATTTACAATAATTTCTCAGTAAGTGGGGCACTGGTTTGATGATGTTGTCATTTTAGACGTTGTCATGCATTGAGCTTTCACTCTGTCTTAAATTGTTATTTGACTTTAGTTTAGGGGTATGGAAAATATCATGCCCCCACTCACAGCGGTTGATGCCGTCCTTGGGCTCAACGCGTCCAATGCGTTTTTCGCGTCGCTTAGCTTGACGGTGAGACCACTGGGCAGAGCAAGGCTGCTGGGCAGCGACAGGGCCTTGTTTTCTTCCAGTAGCCTCAGGTACATGGGATAGCCCTGGACATCAACGGGTTGGCAACAGTGTTAGCAGTGAGTTACATAGGTATGCATTTTAGACCAGGGGCCAATGAACGGTGCGTTCAACTTCATATTGCTGCGTGTCACCGCGTGACATCTTGACACCATTTTAGAGAAAGCGAAAGAAAGAGTTAGAGTGCCCTGGTATTCGATAATATGTGGGATGTAATGCGCGAGGCACGAAGGAACCAGAACAACAAACGACAAAACTGGTGCCAACTAATAACCGATTTATTGAAAGGACGTTCGCATTGTAGGTAGCTTCAAGCGAATACGCAAGTCGCATTGGTGATCGTCGTTACAGGAATGATGTATACGACAACCAGTGATCAGAACTTGTCTAAAAAGTGCAAGTCGCTGCGATAATTACTGAAAGGCGGCATCTTTATATATATTAGTCCATGCACCAACTAGTCCAAGAACGCGTCTAGTATTCTATAATGTGGCACATTCACTCCGCTGGCTTACAAAAAATTAATGAATGAACAATTTGATTGAGGTTGAATGAACTTTTCCTTCGGTCCCCTTTTACGCATACCCAGTTAGTGTTCTGTTAAAAATA